CATCTCTTGACAGCCCACCTAAATTCAGAGGGAATAGCACCACTTTGGCTTAGTAAATCCATGTGACTCGCTGATATCACAGGCACATCGAGTCATACAGTAAAACGCCGAAACAAAAAGAGTTCAAAGCTTTTTTTTCTTAGTATTAGAAATAAAGAAAGAGAGTTTTTTTTTAGGCAGAATCACACCTCTGCTAAAACTCTGGATATAAAATCCAGAGAACAAATAAATTGTGGGTTTGGACCAACGAAAACGCAATAATATATTTGACCAATCGAGAAAGATTTCAAGGAGTGATAGCTCATAGTTGTATATCTCGTAGATCTCCATCCAGCACGATGCCGAGAACACTACCTTGGGCGGAGCTTGGTTGCTCGCTATCCCCAACGGACGGCATGGAGCTCCTGGACAGCCTAAAACATACAATGTAAACAAGTACCAGCTCCACCAATGCGTGGTCTGTACTGAAGTGGCTCCCCATACCATGAAATACCAACTATTAGGCTGCAATCCATCCTTATGCAAGTCTACTGAAACACGATGCACGTGGCGCGGAAAGGTGTTGACATGCAGCTCATCTGGCCGCTTGTCCTGCTATGAGCTTGGTAGCCACGTTACAGTTACCTGTTCCCCAAAGAAGAAGAAACTAACCCTTCAACAAAAATCCTACTGCCTACAGCCAGCAGTGAAAGGACTGCGGCCCCTTCGTATCCGAAACAGATTGCGGCAGCGTTTCGATATTGATTTGCAAGACGGTCCCAAACTTCGAGTCATCCAGAACTATGTGAACCATTTTTTGCAAACCAAGATGGATAATAACGATAACCACGACGCGAGATCGCGGTCTCGCGTTGGGGGCAGAGCGACCGGAACTGAGCGCGTTCACGTCGTACTTCAATGCATCATGGCTTGAGAGCAAGTTCTGGAAGTGGCAATGCTACAACACCGATGTGAGGATTGCTACTACAAACAACCCTGTTGAGCAATTCAACAGGGTCTTGAAGCGAGACTATACCCTTTGTAAACGACTAAAAATGGGAGCTCTGATTCGACAACTTACTGCATGCTGCACAAACGAGTCAGTCTTCCAACGGCCGTTTCGTGAAAGCCCGGAGCCAACAAGACGGTTAATCCTCCGTGCCAAGCAACTTGCGAAAGACAATCTCCTCGGTGATAATTCTTCTGCAATTATCTTGATGAACACACATCACAGCATGCACACACTGGTGCGATCTCGGCCAGCACATAGCTTTTATGTACCTGCAAAAAAGCGTACAGTTGAATATCGTACAGTCACTGCCCAAACTACGCTAGAATGGAGCATCTTGGGCAGCATTCCGATGGCTGGTACGTCAATATCGAACTTGTCAGTGCAGATACTGGATGACATTTGGGGCCCGAATTCATCTCATTGCGGGACTTCAAGCCTCAGATCAAATGAGCACCAGTGGAACGCTCGTTCTGGTCAACCGCAGCATCACTCGAAAAAGGACGGCAGGACGGCCGGCAAACAATGGGCATACATGGTCTTTTTGTAGCAAATGTCTTAAGTGAGAATAAGCTCCAAAATGTATTAATTCTAAAAGTTAGTACATACCGTTTTCATTTCGTCATTGTGTGGAGAGGTGTGAACACAGTTTGCACTGGCGCACTTGCAATTAAACCACAGGTCTCCGTCGTTCTTCACTGTGATCTCTTCGTTTGGTACGATTGACCGTTTCGTTAGAATTACCACCTTGACTCGGTTTCGATAATAAAATAAACTTCGCGGAATGTCCAATTTGGATGGTAAGAATGGTTCAGAAATCTTCCAATCGTGCCAAAGTTAAGAGGCTCCACGTAGACAACATTCTTCTTGCTGCGCTGCGCTCGTGTTTGAAGTAGGAGCAAGTAGCCGCTGTTTAACTTCACCGAAACGTTTGCTTTATTTTCACCATCGATCCCCTCGTAGACTTCGAGGATCCCTCCATACTCTGCAATATTCACGCCACATTCAATATTCTGCGTATAGGAAAAACACCTAGGCCGCACATATCCGTCCTAAAAAAGCCGTAATTGCTCGAGCTGATGCGTAGAGTTGCCACACTTCCCCTCAAGAGCACAGTTGGTCATTGTACAGCAGGCGTCTGACAGGGGGCTCATGCATTAAAACGCGTAGCACTGACCACTGCACGCACACATGCCGAGACTGCCAACATCCCAAAATTTGATCCCGTTTGGATTTTGTTGACCTCTGATCTTGGTGACCTCGTCCGGTCAATCTTTGCGATTGTCTGCCTCGGGCCTGCTGGTGTGTACTAAACGACCGAGTTTGCCGGTAAGCCTTCATTCGTGAGGTCGTCCGAATCAAGGTCTATACAACAGTATTCTGTGGCGTTTTGGTCACTTACGACCATACTATTGCTGCGCAATGCATCGCGCACTTCCGGTAACTGCACAAATTGACGAAGAAAAAGCGATTCCTTGGTGTTGGCATCGTTCACGGCTTGGGAGCATCTTGAAGGCTGTTTTTTTTTTCGGATGCCCGCGCTTTCGCGGTGCTTTCTTTATACCAAGACGATCTCTTCCTTGGTGATGCTTCTTTGCACGAATGGCCGAAGTCGATAGTTCATCAAATGCGTTGAGGTGCTGCACATGCGCCAACCTGATTCCCGTCTCACTACATCGTAACAACGTGTTTTCGTCTGACTCCTCTGCACCTTGTGGTCGGCGTTCATATCGTTGCTCGATTCAGATTGATTTGCACCATTGATAGCCCCCCCCCACACACACACACTCCTAACAGCAGCAAATATATCATCAACATCAACAGAGCGGCTAAATCCTTCAGATGCCTTCAATTGCCCACGGAGACGTCTGCCAGTCTGTGGATCCCGTCCTAGCATTATGTTTCTTACTCAGACCGCAAAGTCTGGTCACAGGTCGGTCTCCACTTCAAACACTTCCAGGTCCACAACCACCAGCACGCCAGCCACACTCAACACACCAGCACCACCGCACGCACGTACTGCACCTGGAACAGCTGAGTGGAGGAGACAAAAGCCCAGTCCAAGGTCGACTTGGTAGTGAAGACACGGTAGAGCCTCAGGACGGGTACTGGGGAAATTCACGAATGCTGCTTTATTTTGTGAACCACATCATTGAGAACACATCTTCTCAAATTCTGTTATATTTTGCGGTTCACACCACGAGAAAGATCAATGACAGGTGGAGACAACGTACGGCGTGGACACGTTTGTGTGGCACTGTCGCGCTTGTCTCTTGTTTGTTTGATATTCAAAGTATTCGGTGTTTTTCATATTTTCTCCTTAAAATGCCAGTGACCACGCAAGGGTTTTAAAGAACGTTAGCTTCTGGTATAGCTCGAGGGTTTGGAGGTACAATTGTCCAAACATATACAAGTATTCCTGTGGAACTACGCGACCCTTTCTTATTCCATTGGAACATCCATCGGTAATCTATCTGTCAGTTATTCCAGATCGTCTGTTCCAAAGGCCGCGCTGTTCCAAGAACTAAAGTTGTCTATTCAGTCAATAGAACTCTAATTTTCTTTTATCATAAGTAGTTAAATTTCCGAGCCCGCGCCATCTGTCGAACAGTGTTCAATCTAAAAGCTGTGAAAGTCGTGATGAACACCGGTATAATTTCTCATGCGAGTCAAACATGCTTTGCAAGTTGCTTCTCCCGGGGCGAGCCTTGGGTAGGTTCACAATGGCATAAGAGAGCAAGAAGAAGCAGAATGCGAGGTTGGTCTGCGCTTCACTCGTTAGTGTCCTCGTTGCCAGCCCCAGGTAGTACAAGTCCGTGCTCGTTATAAGGTGATACATTATCTGTGCCACGTTCAACTATTGCATCAGTCCATTTTGACATGTGTACGCCCAGATCTGTACCAAAAGCACAGATCATTTGTTAGACATCACCCGGCAAAGACTAACGATACCCAGGACCAGCATCTGCCCTACTACCGTCCACAGGGCCGTACTGAGCTTGAAACTATCTGCGTATCGGCTTCGAAATACGTTGATGACTATCGCAAGTCTGTCTTCAACGCTGGAATCACAAATTCCTGGATAGAATTGTAGTAATTGTATCCACAAACGTCACCAGTTAAGCATACCGGGAGATCAGCGGGAACTTGGAGCATAAGCCCACAGTTCACCCAGTGATCGTTTATTGAACAGTGTTTTCGATGTAGACGCCAATTGTGTTCACCTCCCTAATACGACATCCGCCATAGTATTCGTGGAACAGCAGCTGCAACACCTCATTGTAGCCCTCCGTAGTCACTGGTATTGTCCGTGGCACTGAAGGCAGGTTGCTAGCAAACGGGAACAACTTTAGGGTCTCGGGCACGACACAAGCAAATCGGTGCCGTCGGGTGCCCGGATTTTACGATGTCGCTGTTCGAGACGTTGGGTCTGCAATCGGTTTGTCGGGAAAGATCGTAAAGTCTGCGACCATGCCTTTGGCAGTAGGGAACTTGAAGAGTCTTGAGTGCACATCAAGGATCCAATCTGAAGACCAGTCAGCTATCGTATCGGCAGCTACATCGCTCCGAGCAGTGCGTGTGGCATCACCGACAGATCCAACGTCTGTACGGTATTCACGACCATCTGCGGCGTGCTTTTGAACGTCGCGATCGGCGAACCCCACTCGTCAAGCCGCGCATGCATACCGTACCGCCCGCTTCCAACGTATCCGCAAGCGCCAACACCTCCGAGCTGAGCCTCGAGTCGTTTGAAAACTTCTTTGTCTTCAAGTTTTCGAACAAAGGTTTGCTCATAAGGGCGTTGAGCTCGAAGTACCACATCGGTAAGACGGCCTTACAGCAACCAATCTGGCAGCTCGTGCATCCGCCAACCACCACCGCGTCCTTGAAATGGAAGGTAAAATAGCTGTCTTCGAACATCCTAGGTGCTTGGTCAGTCTGAAGACCATCAAGAGCATCGAAGGGCTATCATGAACGCCAAGATTGTCCCGAACGTGACACCTGACCGTCGCGCACGAATCGCATCGCGTTACAGCGCACTGACATGAGGCGAAGGCGATACAGACGCCACAAGAGTCAATGCGTCTTGTGCATTGTCGCCGAAAAGGCTCCGAGTTATCGGCGACTACCTAAATCGAGCGAGGAACCGGACGTCTCCGCTTCAAGCGATGTGTCCTCCTTGACCATCCCGAGGTGGTGAGTGCCATCCAGCAAAGCTTGGTTGCTTAATTCACCACGTGTACCGCGGGACGCTGCATGCAAGTGCCTATTGTGTATGTTATACGGTACTAGTGTCCACAGTTTGTACCTGATGGAGGAGAAGTTTAATCTTCAACAACTGCTCCATGTAAGTGAAGAGATACCGGCGGTATCTTCGAGTTGCCACTCCTGACTTGTTGCGACAGCGAAGGCTGAGGGCACAGTATTGCGTTGCCATGAGCGCCCATTTGAACAAGCTGCTCAGTCGGACGCGATAGCCTCGCACAACGACAAACGAGGCAGATCCTGATGACAAAACTCGTCCATAATGTTGATTCGACCACTGCTTGGTGTGTCTGTCCGACATACTCTGTGGTCAACGAGAGGACCAACCGGAGCGTGTGGTCCTTATCTTCCTCATGTCCACAACAACCAGCGTCGCCGTCGGAGGTGCATCTCCGGCAATTATGCTGATGCTTCGACGACGCCTAATACTTGTACACGTGGCTGGTGTTCATCGCTGTTGCATGGACAGCCTCGCCAAGCAAGCTTTGTTGACTCAGTCTGCTGAGTCAGGTCTGGGCACATCCCTGTCTTCGCTTCCCCTCCGCATCGCCATCCGTCGACAGGGAAGCCGAGATCGAGCACATACCCTTAAGGTTTAACTCGATCAGAGGTCATCGAACTGTTCACGATTCTAGGCATCCTGCCTGCATTTGAATTGGCAGTCCAGGCACTGTAGACCGCTGAGGACACTTGTCGTAGTACATGTACCGCGTGTCGTGCGCCCGGAGTGAACCTCTCTCGGGTTGTTGCCGTGTTGTCAGGATTTGAAACGCTTCATGGCGGCAGCTTTGGCGCCCTATCGTTGTTGGGCTCGTCGTGTGCAATGTCAACACTTGCTCGTTATCTGGAGAGCACCAGGTTTTAGTGGTGAGTCAGGTTCTGTTGAGGCAAAGATGGAGAGCAAGATGGGGTCACTAGATATCTGCGAGCAGTTTAGGGATGCAAAGTTCGAAGAACAGAGCTTGTAATGCCTTGAACAAGATTCACGTGAGCCCAAAACGCCGGGAACTCCGCAATCTTGCTGCGTCGCTGCGACGACAACCACCGGTCGGCGACTGCCAAGTTTCTGCAAGGAGATGGTGAAAAGCAGACAAGTTCGTGGCAAGTTTTCGATCTTGACGAACAAGTGGAGAGACTAGGGAAAACGCAGCACTGAGGTCAATCCCAAGCAGAACAAGAGGAAGAGCCACGGATCGATCCATCGCACCCCATCTCGTTGCTTGCCTTGCAAGTTTCCGCCACTAAGTACGTGTATGCCAGAGCAAAGCACTTGCCTTCTCTTCTTGTTCGTGCACTGAAGCGACTCATAGCGGTGGCAAAGCCCCATGTTAATCCTTAAAGCCGCGATCGCTCGACACAAGGTAGCGACATGTCAATACATAAGCGGCAAGCGCATCAAGATGAGACTTGCATATATGCACATCTGTATTAATGTTACATGAAATATGTGTAGGTCGGTTCAAGGCGAAAAGTATCCAGGATGAGGTCGAGCTCCGATAAACTTCGTCGGCCAAGCCTTCCAAAGATGTTGTTTTAACAGTCTTACCACACATTGTCTTCTGTATTAGCTGGAAAACAACCAGTTGATTGACAAATCGTCAGCTTCTTTAATGCCCCTGCCCCGAGATCAAAGACCCTTGTGAGTGCCAAGGCAAGCTGTTTTCGTAGCACGCCAGCACTTGGTTGCACACACCAGGTGGCAAGGCTCGAGAGGCACAAGATCAAAGCTCCGAGCTCCCCTCTCACTCGCCTTTCGGTGCAATCCGTGACATAATCTGAGCCACCCGACAGCAGTTGTCAAAGCCTCAGCCGGTCCCCCTCCTTTGTAAATCACTTCTGAATTGGCCCCCGAGCTACTAAGGCGTGCATCTGCCGAAGTCGTATTAAGCTCTTCGATGGTGGTGCCTGACACGTCTCTAGTGACGTATCCTACACCGCTATTCCCCTTCAGTCCCCTGCCCGTCGCCAAGCCCCTTCCAATCTACCTCACTGGCTCAGCGCCGCCCGTGTTTCGTCTCCCTAGTATCGCCATGATGAACCAAGATGAATCCTCGGAGAACTTAAGTGCGTCGGCTAACCAGGACACTCCAGGCACTCGACACAAGGCCGCATTGTCCTTCATCTTGTCTTCGTCCGACTCCGAGTCGGATACCGACCAGCGCAAGTCCAAGAAGCGCAACTTAATTAGTGAGCCGACCGTCGCTAAGCGTAGACGCAGCGTGGCAGCGAAGTCGGCGTCATCTATGACCATGTCGGCTGCCTCGCGCTCGAAACCGGCAGCCAAGAAAGGAAGCAAGTTCTGCTCTGTTGAAGGATGCACCAGTCGCGCCAAACACGCCAAGCGATGCTGGAAACACGGCGGCTGGGTGCGCTGCAAAGTTACTGACTGCAACAATCGCGCCAAGTCCAAGGGCGTCTGCTGGTCGCACGGCGGTGGAACCGTGTGCTCGTTCGAGAACTGCGATACCATTGCTGTATCGAATGGATTCTGCTGGGCGCATGGCGGCGGCAAGCGATGCCAGGTGGCCAATTGCTCTAAACCAGCATATGAACGTACGCAGAACTATTGTCAGACGCATTATGAGGAGTTCGGTGCCAGTGTTGACCCCTAGACTAGATTGCTAGCCCCTGTGTGTTGTGGTAGCGTTAGATTGTATGTGTGCGTACAACCAAAAGAAATCCGAAGCGAGAAACCTTTTATTCACTGCACTTGAAAATAATTTGTCAATGTCATGATTCTTAGCTACACGGACACTTCCATTACGGGGTCCACTACGCGGATGAGTCAGCATATTACAATTTCAAGCAGCGGGATGCGTTACAGACCTCAAGTCCGTGCTAGTAGCACGGACTTGGAAGGCTATCGGCTGGTGCCCGTTCCAGCCGATAGCCTTCCATCGACATATCAATTCGAAATAAAAAGCTAGTTGATTCTGGTGCAACAGAGCTGGACGAAGTCGAAGGGCTACCCTGCTTCGCGTACTAAATAGCACCACGATGCCAAGCGTGTAGTTTTCTTTTGAAGCGGCTGCACCGTTAGCAATTCCCGTCGCAGTCTCGACGTTTTGTGTTCAGCGGAGTCCCAGCAAAACGCACAGCGCGAAACCTCCAGCCACGCAAGCACTTCAAGATGAAGGAAGCCGTGCAATCGATTAATGCACCGCCACTGCACGAGGGTCTCTTGGGGACGATCTTGCAGACCACATGCATAGTGCAGAGAACGGAAGGCAATTTGACGCAAATTGCGTCACGCAACGCAGCATTGCAAAGCTGTCCCCTAGAAGTCCACAAAGTGCAGGGCAATGATCTTGCGATGTGTCCGCGAGAGTCTCCATTGCGCTGAGCAACCCATTGCCGCCATTCTCCTCGCGTTGGCGTTGCGTCATCTAGGCTGGTCCATGCAGCACCATTCCGCCGAGATAGCACAACGAGTGGACTCGCAGGTAACTGCAACAACCACCACGCGATGACACTTCCATCTGCGCTCAGGAAAGCGAGGACATCTCAGTGGGTTCGTGATGCAACCGCAAACCGACCAACGATTGCGAGCGCATTGCAAATGTTGTCTATCAGGCACAATCCTTTAAAGGACTGTCACGCCACTTTGTGCGTTGGCGTAGCGTTGAAGCGCAACAACGGGCGTTCTAGTACACCTGCGGACACCTACATGTATCGGACCGATAGTATCGATACCATATCTTACGTTGCTAGCGTAAACTCGGCACGAACGCGCCGCTACCTCTACATGAAGCCTCATGTCTGCTCCAAATCCACAATACCATCGCGACTCAAGCCATTTCCTTGACTCAACGAACGTCTCAGGTATCGTCCCCCATGCTTCGCCACCACAGTGAGCAATTCCGCTGCTGGAGTTTGCCGTTCAAGTCTTCTATGCAATGTGGCGACCACAACGACAGCGATATCAGGAGCAGGTTGCTCCCAGACGACGTGAGTCAACGACTTGCAGGCAGCACCACCACACGCGCACTCAGCTCATCATGGATTCGCACCGAAAGCTTATTCTGACTGTCGCTCGCCGTACACGGCGGACTATGTCTTCCCCTTTGCGCTGCCTGCTGGGATGCCGGAATGGTGCATGGACCAATATCGCCTCGTCGACGCTCGCTATGTCGCTTTGCGCCGTCAACGAATTCTCCTTTTGAGTAGAGCGATAAGCAAGCACAGCACGTTGAAGTGGATAGGCCTGGTGGAAGGTCCGACCCTTGTGCACGCAGTCATCTCCAGCCTCCTTAGCAACAATTCGCGTGAGTCAGGCTTTGCGGCGCCAAGACGCCGAGTCCACCAGCTGCACGATAGAGATGGACTCGAGACGCGGCAGATACCGGACGATAAGAGCATCAGCGTTGTAGTGAGACCTCAATCGTACTGACCCCGGAGGTGTCGGCAATGGATGCAGGTGACACTACCTGTAGCAACGAGTACCATGTCATGTTGAAGTCGCAGCAGATCGCGAGTACAAATCGAATGAGGAATTTGCGGACGAACGAGTCGTTCAACGACTGCTTCAACGACTTCCTACGAGGGTGTTCAGTGTTTGCTCTGCTGGACGTAAACCCCGGCACGACGACACGGCTCTGCCAAGTCTCTGCTAGCGGATGGCACGACAGAGAACCTGCAAAGCAAGACGTCTAACGCGGCCTTGTTTGCGCAAGGCGCAAGAATAGAAACATGAGTAAATAGTCAACGAAAGACTCGGATAAGCAGCAAAATACTTGTCAGGAGCTGATGGTTATATTGGTAGTTTAACTCCGACCACTTCGGACCGTGAACAACGTCCTGCAATGCCACACGTTTGCTCGTTCCAGTGCTCGACAGCAACTAGTTCCAACGCAAACGATCCTCAGTCATCAGGCTTCAAGATATTGAATCGTAGCCTACGATTCGTAGGCAAAGCCTCAACTACTCACGTTTCGTCGTGATATTGAGAGAAAGGAGCGCTGCATGCAGACAATGCAGTTTTAACCAAAGATCCTCGTTGCTGAATTCCGAGAGAATATCGTGAAAGGCTCTGGCAGGCAGCTAGTTGCTCCATTGAAATACTACTGGTGTCATGACGTGACATTAATGCGGTGTCTTCATTGACGTTCCTACATGTAATTGACCTTCTGTCATTACCGCGCAAGGTAGCGATGGCAGAGCTGTGCTGTCTTGGTTGTCGCCCTCTCTGTTGTCCTTCCCAGAAGGATCTGAGCAAAAGTGGCCTGCCTTGGACACACCGACAATCCGTCGACATTTTCCGAGCCAAGTGACTCCGCCACGAGACCAGAGTCACGCATGAGTGCCTGCCTGCAAGCTGTTTTTCGAGCATGTCGTGGTTTGTCTGCCCTTGTCATCTCTAAGCTTTGGCTTGCGGGCAGCACCTGTCGCCGAGCACATGGCACTCACGTCTCAAGCTGAGTTCTTTCCAACGGATATCCCTTTCTGTACTCTCCAAGAGGCTTTCGGTGCATTCCTCGTCGACATAATCGGTCAATCTCGGGCCGTTCACATCCGTCACTCGGTTTACCATACATCAACTCCATTCACTCCCAGATTTGAGCCCTGCGAACGAACGCTCATCGTTGGACCCCCAGCCGACTCACGAGAATCGATCGCCTCTCGTTAGAGAGAAGTTTGCGCCTGTCCGTCCCTGTCGAAGACATCACAAGATCGAGCAGCCCCTCTTTTGTCGCGATGGATGTGCGCGACAAGCTAACGTTGGCGCACCCGGCGACAACCTTGAGCACCCCGAGCAGCGTCATCACGCCGAGTGCCTTACCATTCCAGAATTTCGTCACCGGACCCACCGTGTCTCCATCCTCGCGGTTCGCAACCAGCTCAGTCATGCAGGCCTCTGAAAACTCGACCCAGTTCGCTAATGTCATCGATGATACCAAGGACAAGGCTGCGCTCTCCTTCATCCTATCGTCATCCGATTCCGAATCGGATACTGAGGAATCGAACACCAAGATGCGTAGTTCTCTTATTGGAGCCAACGTTACTAAGCGGAAGCGTATCGTGGTGCCTTCAACTTCTGATGCCGGGGCACCTGTCCGGAAGGGCAGCAAGTTCTGTACCGTTGAAGGGTGCACCAGTCGCGCCAAACACGCCAAGCGATGCTGGAAACACGGCGGATCTGTAAAGTGTAAGGTGCCTGATTGTATCAACCGCGCCAAGTCCAAGGGTGTCTGCTGGTCTCATGGTGGCGGAACCGTCTGTTCGTTCGAAAACTGCGATACCATCGCCGTGTCGAATGGATTCTGCTGGGCCCATGGAGGCGGCAAACGATGTCAGGTTCCGAATTGCTCCAAGCCAGCGTATGAACGTACGCAGAACTATTGTCAGACGCATTACGAAGAGTTGGGCGTCGCTGGAACTAGCTAGCTGTTTGTCGTGAGTGTAACTACAAGAAAAACAAATATAAAAGTGCGTCGATGTTTGAAGTTTACCGAAAACTTAGTGCTCTTTATATGTCTATCATTGCTGGCGGCGACACGGGAAACGTTGCTAAAGACTTTGCAACGCCGTATATTGACTCCACGGAGTTCGTATCGCTACGCGTCTCAAGTTCATTCTCCTCGGTGGAAGCACATTTCGGAAGGGTATAATGATCGCTGGTCTCACCGAAAGGTACTCTCTCACCAAGGTGTGGCTTCGTTCAAGCAGGAAAACAACTGCGCTCACAGAGCAACACTACAAATGCACGATGTCATCGCAAGGAATTCGACGGGGTTCGTCGGAAGAAGTGGAACGTCAAGTTTGGGACTTCGTCGGATCTGAAGAGAACTGTATCAGGTTCATGTATATTCCGGTTCGGAAGAAAGCAATCCACGTGAGCATGCGTGGATTGCTTGCTTGTACCAAGTACCAGTTGTCTTGATGCGCTCATCCAAACGCCGCCATACTGTTTGGAGAGTGTAAGATCCTCGTGGTAGCATAAGCATATACTCGCCTCCAATCCTCGTGGTTGAATAGTTTTAGCAATCGAGAGCTACAGGACAGTGTCGGAGCGTTGCCGAGATAGTATGATTGATTTCTGAAGCATAGGGCCTGGCCGAGGACACAACTCTAGATTGTATTATTATTATCGCGGCTTACTCGAAAGCAGGGCAAACGGCTCCCTCTCACCGAAATGGCAAACCGCCTCGTTTGAGCTGTCGCCAAGAGAATCCCGCCTTGTGTTGCCCGTCAACAACACGCGCATTTAACGGAATTAATTGGAGGCAAGCATCTCGGTGTACACTGATACTTCAAGTGCCTATATATCGTCAAGATGACAATGTTGACGGGCAACGTATGTTGCTGTGGCAGATCGGCTGAGAAAGGCCGCTGTACAGCGTATTCGATGTTGTTCCTTGATCATTTCCATACAGGCAAATATATACTGGAGCTACTCCCGTAGCGTTTAATCCCTAGAATTGCCGCCTTTTTTCATGGTGCGATTGCGCCGCCATTTGAAACCTTTTGATTCCTAAATTGCTGCTCTTCAATAAAATCCAAAAGTCGTTTGACTTGGAGTCTCTAAAGGGGGGGGGGG